AATGCTTAAAATTAATTAATTATGCAAATTAGGTAATTAATATGTACTGATATTACCATAAAAACTATCAGGTCTGTGCAGTGTCGTATGACATCTATGTACCAAGTTTCATTGAAATGTGATGATTAGTACTTGAGATATCAGTGGAAAAACCGAAAATTGACTAATCATTATGCAAATTAGGTAATTAGTATCCACGGATTATTACCAAAAACTAATCAAAACCTAGCATTAGTTCAGAGCATCTATGTACCAAGTTTCATCAAAATCCAATGAGTGGTTGTTTAGATATCAGTGGAACAGTCATGGAACCACTAAAAAATAGCTAATTATCATGCAAATTAGGTAATTAATATGCACAGATTTTTACCAAAAATTAATCAAATCTGCGCATATGTTCAGAGCATCTATGTACCAAGTTTCATCAAAATCCAATGAGTGGTTCTTTAGATATCAGTGGAACAGTCATAGAACAGCTAAAAATTAGCTAATTATCATGCAAATTAGGTAATTAACGAGCATGGATTTTTACCAAAACCTAATCAAATCTGCGCATTGGCCCAGAGCATCTATGCACCAAGTTTCATCAAAAACCGATGTATGGTTCTTGAGATAGCAGTGGAACAGTCGGACACACATACACACATACACATACAGACACACTAACTGCAAAGACTCCCATTTTGTGCTTCGCACATGGGAGTCAAAAACCAGATGGATGCCAGTCATCACCTTTGATCTGATGTGAACTGACATGAACATGTATTACTATATGTATGATGTATGTGCCAAATATGAATGAAAATGGTCCACAAGCCTTGGGGATACAGTAATATGGTCAAAAAGCATGATCTTTGATCTGATTTAAAACAAACTGACACGAACATGTAATCTAAAATCTACTATGCATGTACTAAATTTGAACAAATTATGAACTTTGTTTGAACGGGGACTAATTAGTACTTCTTAAGAAATGGGTAGAATGCAGGTTACAAAATATATTTTATTTTATACATACATTGTAGCTTTCTTACCTGATGTTTTAATCTGAATGTATACCTCACCCAGTGAGTTCTATCAACTTCGTCATCATCATTTTTCTTCTTGTCAGCTTTCTTCTTTTCTTCCCGTTCTAGAACAGTCATCCTCTGCATCCGGGTGTGACCCAGACTATCATTCCAGACTGGGTTAAAGATGACTGGTTTAATCGCAGATTCTAATATTGCCAGAGCTAGGGAAAACTCCCTGGCTGTACTGCACATATGCACAGCTTTCACCCAGTTATTACGATGTATAGTCCAGTTAGAATGTAGAAATGGAGCTGCAATATTAGTCTCTAGCTGCGTTATGCTTAGTCGAAGTGTAGAAATAGTGAGAACCCTGGATCCATGTACTGTACCATTCCATTTGAACTCACTCATTTGAGTAAGACTGAATTTATGTGATAACTGTCGTCTTTTATCTCGATCTTCAGCATGCTGTGGCTTGTTAAGACCAAGCGTATTGGCAGTGTAAGCATTCTTATACAGTTTATAGTTCCCTTCCATACCAAGTTTGAAAAGTTGTTGGTTTTTAGCAACCAATGAGTCAGTATTGTTGGCGTTTATCGTTAAGGTACCATCAGCATTTTTAGTTGTATTTACACGTGTGATTTCACCTTGAGCATTGATCACTAATATTGTATCACCAGAGGAAGATGAGCTTGATGGTGTGGATGTTGTTGTCTTGGTAGCAGTATTTGCAATGGCAGCAATACTTTTAGCGGATTTGGAAGTAGCATATGTGACATATGATGTACTTTTAGGAGGAGGTGGTTTGTAGTTAGGATTTCTTGATCTTGTCATGATGGTTGTCGTGGGAGACGTCTTTGGAGATGTTTGTTCCTCTCCCTTATCTTTCTCATCATTGTCATCATTTTTTTTCTCATCTTTATTTTTTTCTTCTGAATCATCAACTTTATTCTCTTCAGTTGGCTTGTCACTAGCATCAGTAGTACTGGCTGCTGTTGTGGTAGGTTTGGTATTGGTGCTGGATGATATAGCATAAGTTAATTTTGTACCATCTTTGTTGAGAAAGACAAAGGTTTTGGGGGTAGCTTTGTTTCCATCTGTATCCGTTGTTTTTGTTGAAGTATCATCTTTATCTTGTATCTCTAGTTCTCGTTTAGTGGCGCCAGGTATTAAAGACTGAATGCTGACTATTTTAGTATCGGATTGTTTTGTTGTTGACCTGCTAGACTTTTCCTCCTCAGCAATATGATTTTTTCTATCTTCTGATATTTTGGATGACACGTCAGTGATTTGAGATTCGCTATCTGTTGTAACTGCAGCTGTTACATCTTGGTTGGTTTGCAAACTCTCGCCATCAGAGTTGTTGACAGTTATTTCAGCTGATGGTGTTGCCATGGTATCTGTATTCATGCCTTCCGTCATCTTTTCTTCCACATCTTTTTGCATTTCTTCTTGTTTGGCATTGTCTTCTTCCTGCTTAGCTTCTTCTTCTACTTTCTGTTTAGCTTCATCTTCTCTCTGTTTAGTTTCTTCTTCAGCTTTCCGATTAGCTTCTTCTCGGTCAAGTCTCTCTTTTTGAATTCTATCTGTAAATGTAAAAATTTAGACAGGGTGTCACAGTGACCTTCATGAAATTGAGTCTTCCTGAATTTTCCAAATTACATTTTGAAAATACCATCTGAAGTTAGACTATACACCAATTATGTGTTGCAGAACAAGTCTAAATAGATAATTACTCACCATCAGCATTATCTAATGCCGATTTTAAATTTCCCCTGGCCTGATTTGTTAAATCTTCAGTTTTCTTCATATGATCCAATAACTCTGACATCTGGTCACTTAGTGCTCTACACAGATCGGCTTCCCATAACTTAGAATTCAAACAATGCATTAACTCCTCCATTTGTGCTTTTGTACTGAAGTAATAAACTTCAGACTCTCCCTCGCTAAAAGACAGAAATAATTATCATAGTAAATTTCATCAATTTGATCAAATTCACTACAAACAACATCCCGATTAATTCTGAGAAAAGTAATTTCTTATATGAGACAAATTGTAATTTAACATTTCCCAAATGTATAATAAATTGTTTTCAGTCCAACATTCAGGTAAGGAATGCTTGATT